GCTTTTTGGTAGTTAATTGTAGGTGAGAATCTCATGGTCTTTCTTGCCCAGTCTGGCTTCAAACCATGATTCTGATCTCAGCCTCCTGAGTTGCTAGGATTACAAATGTGAGTGCCAGATCAGTCCTGGCTGTTAGACTTCCCATGGATGTCTTTCTTCTCTTTTCATTCTTCTCATCCCTCTTCTGGTAAGAACCCTGTAACTCTCTGGTCTTCATAGTTGCCCCTTCTTTTCCTTGCTCTCTCCTGTGTCAAGAGCACTTCTTGGACGTGGACTCCCTCTTTCTGAGGGAGTCTTCTTTCCTCTTTCCTCTCTTAGGCGCTGTTCTTCAGGAAGATGAATGGGTCATTCTCTGAGCTTTGGTGCATAATTCCTGTACCAATCTGGACCCTTGCTTCCCAGTTATGTCTGCACCCACTTTCTGTTCATTTCTCTTCCAAAAGCAGAGTCTGGGACAAGAATTCAGTATAGGGGATTGATTTGGGAGATGTACCTGGGAGGCCGAAGTGAAGACTAGGGAGAGCAGGGTAGGGCCAAGCTAGGAGAAGGTAAAAGTTCCTTGTTTATCTGGTTCCTGGGCTGGGTACCTGGGCCTCAGTGCCATACAGATGGCCCCCTTAGTTGCTAGGTGGGCATTTACCCACAGAACCCTATTCTCTACTCATAGAGATATGCTCCTGGCTTGGTGCTTTGTGCTAGGAGTAAACCTAAGTCAGGACAGGGACAGTGAAACTGGAAGTTACATCTACTGTGAATCTCTCTGCTACAGAAATTCTTCCCTTCATGTCCCTGATTTATTAATAGTAATGACAAGAATGCAATGCATTGAATGCTTTTCTGTATTCCAGTCCTTGGGCTAATGGGTTCCCAAACATTTTATCATATAATGTTCTAAAGACCTGTCTCAGTGTACAGATGACAAGGGAGACCTAATTGTCAAGCATTCTCTAGTGGGAACTGGTAAGCTGGGGTCGAGTCAAGGGCCAGGGTTAAGTGCTCAGTCAGTTCTCTTTGTACCCTTGGTTCTACCAAACCCAAGCTTGACAGATTGAGTTCCCAGGGCTGAGGCCTTGGGGAATGAAGAATGACAATGTTCAGGAGCATCTCAGGTGAATTTATGTTGGTGGTCATCTTTAGACTTGGTTCTTTTTAAAAAATATGTTTAAATTATTATAAAGATAATGTACAGAAGGGTTATAATTTCCTAAGTCAGGTAATGCATACATTTCTTTTGGATATTGCCACCTTAGACTTGGTTCTTGATGTTAAAAGCCTGGAATAAATTACTTGTAGAAAATGAGGATTCTTTTCTTGTTTGCATGCTGTTAAGTTGAAAGCCACTAGGGCCTCTAGGTTTTGAAAGGTTCTGTTGGATACATCTGGCTTTTTTTTCTCCCATCAGAGTTGGCAAAGACTTTCCTTTGGAAAGTCAATGTGGCCAGTGCTATACTCAGACTCTGCCAGCTGTTGGACAGATGTGAGCTGCTGCCTGGGGGTGGCAGTGGGGACTGGGAGAATGCTGAGGATGGAAGAGAGTATGGAGGAAAACGTGAATGTGGAATACTAAGAACCAGTATGCGAGGTTAGTGAGTCCTTCACCACCCCTCTCCATGTCCCCCAGCTGGCACAGGGCTCACAAGGATGAGCTGTCTGTGGCAGGGAGTCACAGGAGTGAGGGGTGGGGCTCAAGTCTTCTTAAGCAGAGCCATAAATGTCATGGGACTCCAGAGAGCATGAGAGGCTGTGCCTGTATGGTTTCTATATTTACAAGTTCATTTTGCTTATTTGTCCACTTTACATCTTGTGGTGGGGTCCTTGATCCTCTATTTTTTGAGGGGAGAGGGGTCGGTCGTGGGGCCTGAACTCTATGCCTAGGTGCTGTCCCTCAGCTCTTCAGCTCAAGGGTAGCACTCTACTACTTGAGCCACAGCAGCACTTCTGGCTTTTTCTGCTTATGTGGTACTGAGGAATAGAATTCAGGGCTTCATGCATGCAAGGCAAGCACTCTACCACTGAGCCGCCTTCGCAGCCCCTTGATTCTCTATTTTAAGACCATCTTTGGTAACAGTGTGGATATGTGGCCCTCCTCAAGGTGTTCACTGGCACTAAAGACTGAGAAAGACACAGGTCTCCTGTGAGCCTGGGCATTAAGGATTCACAAGCCTGGAGATTCGGAGGAATCTATGCCACCATATAGGAGGGAGTGGTTGCCTGGAGAAGAGAGGTGCAGGGGAAAGGCCATGAAGATGGTATGGGGTCTGGACTTTGTATCAACCTGGGCAGATGCAGTCTTTTTCCATCTAGGTTGGTTTGCTTTGGATTTCTGTCATTAGCAGCTCAAGAGCTCCGACTGGCACAGAGGTTGCTTCTTCTTTGAACTGCCAAGCTACCCACTAAACCTGCCAAAGCCAAATTTGATAGCTCCTTTCTGTAGTCTCTTCTCATTCAGAAGCTTGGGCCCATTCCCCAAGCTCATACACTAGGGCAATGGACTGTGTACCCTGAAATTCTCATGTTGAAATTGTAACTCCCTAAGTGATGATATTAGAGGTGAGGGTTTTGGAGTGATTAGATCATGAGGTGGGAGTCTTATAAATGAGATTAGTACTTTTTATAAAAGAGGTCCCCAACACCTCCAGAGTCCTTCTCCTCCTTTACTTTACCATCCATGTGAATTCAAGTCTGATCTGGAAGAGGGCTTTGTGTGTGTGTGTGTGTGTGTGTGTGTGTGTGTGTATGGAGGGTTCCTGGGGCTTGACAGGGCCTGGGCGCTGTCCCTGAGCTTTTTTTATGTTTTTGCTCAAGACTAGCACTCTCTACCACTTGAGCTATAGCTCACATCTAGCTTTTTAGTTGTTAATTGGAGATAAGAGTCTCACAGACTTTTCTGCTCAGGTTGGCTCTGAACCACAATCCTCCGATTTCAGCCTGAGTAGCTAGGATTACAGGCCCTGGCACTGGGCTTCTGCGAAGTTTTTTTGTTTGATTGTTTCCTTAGGTTTTGTAGTCTTGTATTTGTCTTTGTTGTTGTTATTGTTTTTCCACAATCTGCCGGTGTTTGAGGTTGATTTGCAGAACCTTGCTGTCCCTGGTGCAGAGTGTGCTTGTTCACCAGCCCTGGGATTTGAGGTAATCCTTTTGCCTGAATAACTGGTGGCTGGCTGTGGCCAAGCTTGGGTGGCACTGACTCCAGTGACAGGTCTTGCCCTGTCGCACACAAACAACTCTCCTGAAGCCCCTCCATATCAAGCAACGGAAACAAGTTAATTTATTTGATTTCAAAAATTTTTATTGTTATTCTTACAAAAACCATAAAAGGATAAGCATATTCCTGTGAAAAGTTTCATACTCTGGGAATGAGCTCTGTTCCAAGTCTTATGAGCAAAAGGCTCAAGACCTCTCAGCTTGGTAAGGTGCCAAGATGATCTGCCCAGTTCTCAGAGATGCCTGCCCCTGCCCCCCATGCCTCCTTTGCTCCAGACCTTGAGATTTTAATAGCCAACTTTTGTGTCCCTCAAAGCCTCTTCAACATGCCATTTCCCATCCCTCCTCATTCTCTGCTTTCCACTGTCACTTGCTGTATTTCCCTATATCAAGCTTTTATTGACAGCCTCCTCTTGGCAGGAAATCTACATCTCTAAAATCCATCCTCTAACTCTTCTCTTCCAGTTAGCACATGTGACCTCTCCTGTACCAGCCTATCTCCAGAAAGCAGTACCTGGCTGGAAGAACACTTCGGGGCTCTGAGGACCTGTGCTCTAGGCCTGGTTCTGCTATCTTTGGCTGTTAGGGTCTTAGGTACAGGATATACATTCCTCGCCCCCCATCTCCCAAAATAAGATTTGCAATTCTCCAAAATCCAAAACTTTTGAGTGCTGACAAAATACCATGTGTGTCAAATTCTACTCCGTTAAGCCTTGTTTCATGCACAAAATTATTTTACAATATTGTATAAAATAATCTTCAAAGTATGTATAAGGCATCCATAAAATGTAAATGAATTTTATGTTTATACTTATATTCCATCGCCAGACTAGGAAAAGAATCCAAAAAGCCCTAAAAGATCCCAAATCTAAAAACACCCTGGTCCCAAGGATTTTGAATATGAATGCTTAGTATTTTCTTATTTTTACAGTTGCAGTGATCCTGCATCAACAGGAAGTGCTACATAGCAATAGATTCTAATGTGCCCTGAAAAGTATGCACGTGCTTCAGAGTGCAAGCAGAGTTACCTGTGGGCTCCTGGGCACTGCTATTTTCATCTCATTTCCCACCCACTAAAGACAGCACTGTGCCTTTGCACTCTGGTGAAAATCAGCATGGCTGACTTCCACATTTATCTGGTGAGCTTCAGAAGCTCACAGCACCAGTTAGGGTTGAGCACAAAGCAGTGCCCAGTCTTAAAGTATATTGCTTTGATTCAAGTTTGCTTGGGCAGAACCACCACTCACAGAGCGATGTGACATCAAGGCAGCAAGCTGGTGGAAAAACCCAAATTCCTTTGTTCATCCTCCTCAACATGACCTCCGGCAGAAGGGCCATGCTGGCAGCTGGGCCTGGGGCCCTGGCACTCACCAGCAGTATTGTCCCAATGCTGGGGGGCATTTGGCAAAGGACTTTGGCTTTCTTACTGGCTTTCTTACTCCCCACAGAATAGGTGGGAAATGGTCTTGCTGGGATGAGTCAGTCAGATGAGAACCACCTTTTCACAAGTAAATCCCAAATTGGGACAGTGTCCTAGTGTGAGCTCAACCCTGGACCACTCAGAGCTCCACAGGGGGACTCCTGCCCTGGGGATCATTGTCTGGAATATGCGATCCACACATCTTGACAAACCCTTTCTCATTCAGGACCCTCCCTTCTACCTCCTTTGTTCTTTTTGTGATAAGAAAATGACATCATCCTTTCCCCAAAGCCTAGCACCCAGATGTTATTCAGAAGACACATTCTTGATCCTTCCCACCTCCCCACCCCCATGTTGTACACAGCTACACATTACACCTGACAAAATTTATCTTCTCTTTAAGACTATCCTAGCCCTTGAGGATCCACTCAGGGCAATTCCATTGCAAACACTATAACCTAAAGTCAGTCACATCAGAAACAAAGTCAGTCACCAGAGAAGAGAGCTGCTTTGATTGGTTTTTGCTCAGTCAATCCTAACCCTAATCCTCCAGCCACTCCAAGTGGGTTTATTTCAACCACACTCATCAATGGAATTAGAAATAGCACCCTCCAAGAGTGTTCCCCCCAGCCCTGGCTAACCTCAAAGCCTGGAAAAAGCTGGTGCTTTACTTCAAAGCCATCTAGAGTAAAATGCATGATAAATAAACAAATGCTTGTGTTCCTTGGGAGTTTCCAACTGTGGGTGGATGTAGCCTTCATGGGGCTCCCTAGAGTTTTCAGATAGAACTTTGAGAATATCTAAAGGCTCTGAAGGGCCAAACAGGCCTTTGAAATCACCCTGGTCACAGTGAAGCATGCACAGAGAGATGGAACAGGGGATAGGGATGACTCTTGTCAATAGCTGAAGAATTTGATGAAAATTACAGGTACAATCCATGCTGAGCTGGGTGGGACTCCTTTGAGGTGAGCATGGAATTGTGTATAGAGCTTTGGTTTAAATAACATGGAGTCTTAAAGGATGGCTTAGAGGAATGACAAAAATGAACATAGTCCCAAATAAGGGGTGTCCACATAAAGCTCTTACTTCCTGGAGACAGATGAAAGCCAGTCTCTTCCCTCCATGTGGCCCTTGGAAGGAAAAGTGGCCCTCAGGGCCTTAGCACCCAGGGTTGAGATCCAGCTGCTTCAATATGTTCTTCAGAGACCCCTGCAGCCTGCTCAGGGCCACCACCTCCGTGGAGTGGCGAAAGGCTTCCTCGACACTGATCAGACTCTCCAGGATCTTCATGTTACTCATCTGGGGCTGGGGGCAGTTCTTGAAGGAGGCCAGCAGTTGGAGAAGGGCCCGGAGGTTCTCTAGGTCATTAGATATTTGCATCGCATTTTGGGAGTACAACCTAGTGAGAATCTGTTGATGGACCGCCAGTGTATAGTCCATGTTGGACAAACTCAGAGCAGGGAAGAGGCCAGGAATGAAATCCAAACCAGTGATCTTCTGTTTGGAGGAGAGAGACTGTTGTACAGGAAGAAAAAAGAGAGAAAGTGCTCAGAAAGCAGGCAAAGAAACCATCCTTCAAAGTCCTCTGTGATCACCATGAGCGCAGAAGCTCATTCTCATGGCTGTATCCTTTTCCCTTTTCTTGCCTTTCCAGGCTCTTATTTTCTGTGTCCAAGTGATCACCAGACTGATTTCCTAGATTCCTGCCTATCCCAAACCATCCTATCCTCCACTTCCAACTACTCTTCCTTGGCCATTCCTTTCTTCAAATGGCCTCTGTGAAAAAACAGCAATAGCTCCCTTCTTATTTAGTAAAGTCTCTCTAACACTCAGCAGATTCCTTTCTCTTACTACTATGCTTTCCCCTCGCTCTGAGAGTTAATGTCACTTCTCTAGGGAGTACCCCATTTCTCTTCTTTGCCTCAGTGACTTCAATTACCAGGAAGGGCTCTCCTCATCCCAACGGCCGGTGACACTTGCTCTTGAGAATACCCAACTTGGGATTCCCAGTATCTCACATGTAGCCTTGTTGAGTGACTATTTTTAAGGACTTCAGGGTTTCCTCTATGAAATACACAAGACTCTAGTTCTGGCCTGCTTCTGGCCACGTGGTTTCTTCCTGACTTCCCAAGGCCACTGCTAAGCTACCCATAGTGGCCAAGAGATATAGAAGATCCCAGATTTTCTGCATTCTGTGTGTGTGTGTGTGTGTGTGTGTGTGTGTGTGTGTGGTTGCACTTGCTGTATCTGCTTTGTCTCATAGCAACTTGATAAAGACTATGTGATGTTCCCAGTATTTAGATAATGATAGAAAAAAGCTGAGGAACCCACTTAAGATTTCACAGATGAGTTGGATGCCCGTGACTCATACCTGTAACCCTAGCTACCCAGAAGGCTGAGATCTGAGGATTAAGGTTTGAGGCCAGCCTGAACAGGAAAGTTTGGGAGATTCTTACCTCCCATGATCCACCAAAAAGACAGAAGTAGAGCTTTGGCTCAAGTGGTAAGGCATCAGCCTTGAGTGAAAAAGCTAAGGGACAAGTGCCTAGGCCCTGAGTTCAAACATCGCTACCGGGGCACACATACACACAAAAGCTTGCAAGATTTACTTAGTCTTCTTCTTGTCAATTATAGACCCATCTGGGAAACAGCTGAAGGTATGGTCTGTCAGACTCCAGAGGAAGTCTAAGGTGGGCAATAACAACTGTTAATAAATACTCAGAGGCCTGATGGTGAAGGAGGGAAAACTTGCTCCTCATTGCTAGAAAGCAGGATAAGCTGTGATGAGAGAGGCCACAACTAAAACTACAAGAACCCGAATTCTGTACACATCTAGAGATGGGGGAGATGCCTGGCAAGCGTGCTGCTGGGGATCTGTCCACTAGCCAATAAGACACAGGAAACTTTATAGCTTCCCCTGATGTCAAGGAAGATGGAGATTAAGGGAGGCAGAGGGGAGAGGATGAGACAGGAAGTGGTCAGTGATGAGGGAGGAAGCAAAGCTACTATACCTTTACCTGCCACTGCACCTGCCTCAGCTAACCTTTGAGGTCTGGGGTTCCCCATCATAGAACATTCTGGGGCTTCATAATATCAGAGAATCCTTTTCCTTCCTTCCTTCCTTCCTTTTCCCCCTTATACCTATTCTGGGGCTTGAACTCACACTCTCATTTGGCTTTTTTGCTTAAGGCTATTGTTCTACCATATGAGTCATATTCCCACTTGCAACTTTCTGCCAGTTACTTGGAGATAAGAGTCTCACAGATTTTTCTATCTGGGCTGGCTTCAAGCCAAGATCCTCAGATTTCTGCCTCCTGAATTTCTTGGATTATAGGTATGAGCCACGAGCACCTAGCTCTATGATTTCTTTTTTTTTTAAAAAAGGGGTTACAATTACATAAGTAATTACATAATCTTGTCTAACTTGTTACCCCCTCCCTCATTTTTTCCCTCTTTCCTTCCCCCTCACCTACCGCTATGATTTCTTTTTAGGCAGTAGCATATGGCAAAGTATTCTTTTTCTTACAATGGTTTCATAGTAGAACCACTAAAGAGAAACAACCAGAAAGAATGGCAGCCTTGTGCCTTGAAATCTTCCTCAGGTTCCAAGGTGCCTGGCATTTAGAAGGTGCCTAATAAATATTTCTTGGATTAAGGAACCATCATAAGAACTATGGGCTGGCCCATAGTTCTATTTTGTTCCCCACTCCCTGCCCTTCCCTACCATGTGTGAAATGTCATTGATCCTGATGATAATGGTCTTTATGAGGGATTTGGCATCATCCTGGACTTTCTGGACGGGCACAGCTTGAACATAGCATAGATAGTACCAAAGCCACAGAAACTGGCACAGGAATCCCCAGCGCATTTTTTCAATCTCAGGATGAGTTTCTTGGATCTGAAAATACAAAGAACCACACATTACAAGAGGCTGGTATCAGAATAGATCCATCTGCCCTGCTACCAACCACATTGCCAGATATGGATAAAAACACTTTCTGCCAGACTATCATCTCCTCAAAGCCAAAGATTATTCGCTGTCTAGATCTAGATTACTAAAGCATGCCCTTGGGAAGAGGCATATTGCCCCATCCATAAAACCACGATAACATGTTTGTAGACCACAGAGCAGTGAGCCCAGGAGTGATCAAATTACCCAGTGGCCATGATGGGGGTGGGGAGGCTTCATTGTGTGCTTCAAGGAAAGAGAACCAATTGATAAAGGCTCTGTTGGAATCTAGTCATTTACTTACTACAGAACTTTAGGCATATCACACAACCGCTCAAAACTCCACCTCTCTCTAAGCTTTTATGAGGAACAAATTAGATAATACATGAGAAAGAACAGAAGGGGCTGTGAACTCAGTGTTTCATTACTCATATGGAGATGTTACTTCCTTGCCCTTCCATTGCTTTCTCAACAGCCTGCTGCTATGGTTGTGATGACCTTTCCCCTGGGGAACTTGAGTCTAAGTAGAACTTCTCTACCATGGAATAACCAGTCAGATGTAATGCTAGATACCAGGGAACCAAGGAAAAACTCCAGATCCTCCCTACATTCCAATGTCTCATGGCTTAACAGGCAAGGCAATATAGATCAACACAGGAAGGGAGAGCTTTGCAAGCAGGAGAGTTCCAGACAGTGCATGAATCCTAAGGAGGATGCCTGGAAGAGAGGTCACCTTATCTGGAGATTAATGACCAAGAAGGAGTTAGGAAGAGTAGAAAGCAGTTATTGCAAGTGGCCAAGTGATCAACTGTAAATAGAGACAAGAGAGCATGCAATGCTTTCACATAGAATACGTCAAACTTACAAAGTCACAGAGCTGTGAACTCTAAAATTAATAACATGCAGATCCTTGATTAAGAAGCTAAGTTTTAATGAGATACACGAGGCAAATGTAATAAAATCAAATGCATGCAAGTTTGTAGCCAGTGATCCATGCTAAGCATGTGTATATGAGCCCAAAATAATAATATGTAGGTAAATATTAGGGTAAATATTCTGGACATGGGATGGAAGTTAACTGCTCCTTTTGTTTCTTCTTCATCTGGGTCATGATGGAACCAAGTAATACATTTTTTGATCCATTAAAATATTAGTATAATTCATTTTTTGGCAACAAATTAAAACAAACAATCTCTTTACATATTATTTATAATGTTTAATCAAAGACATGTCATTGTTGTTGTTTTAATCTGAATTTTATTACAGAGAAAAAAATGAGCCTCAGGAAGACAACCCAATTTGCCTAAAGTCAAATAGGTTAAGTGGCAAAGCCAGGATGTTTATACAGCAGACTTGAATATACCAGTCCTTGGTTTTGCTTTCCAAGGTCATCTATGGCCTCAAATGGAAAATTTAACACATGAGCCCATTCATAAGCTTTAAATAGTGCCATTCTTACTAATGTGTTGAAGTCTCATACCTTCTCATCCATCCCACCTGGGACATGAAAATGTTTCTCTCTAGTGTATCTATACTGTATAGATGACTTCCCCCATTAGTCACTTAGTAATTGTCTCAGTTATTGGACCCACTGTAATGGTTTCATAGTGCTTGTATTTAAGTAACCCTTATTTTATAAAATAATGGCCCCAAAGGATGCATGAGACATGGAATGACAGAATAAATCTGTTATACTGTAATAAGTGGCAATGATGCCGGCCTTATAGGGGATAATTTAGCAATATGGACTTCAGTCCTGCCAGAAATGTCAGGTATCTAATAGAGTCTTGCAATGTATCTCCCATACAGTACTATTTGTCTGAAATCCCAGCAAAGGTAGGAGGAACCAGAAGTCTGTGTATCTTCCTGGATACAGTGACAGAGCTGGCTCTACTACTCTGATCAAAAGGGTAAATGAGAACCTGTGTAGCCCTTGTCCACGATGCATGTGTCTGGCTCAAGTTTTGGGGAGTAAATGCCAGCTGTTGAAAAATTATTGTAATTGCTGTGCAGAGCTTGGAATGCTCAGGGCAGCACCACCTGTAGCCAGCTGTGAATCAAGTATTTGGCCCCCTGCCTCCCACAGGGCATCTCAACAGGGCACCTGGCATTTCTAAGTCTGTCCCTGAATCACAAGATTGCATTTCAGGATTTTCTAAGATTTATGTGCTGAGGATACCCTCCTTGTAGAGAAAATTTACTATCTGATCAACTGTGGTCACATAACAGCCATTCTTACATAATGGTCACCCGCTATTGCCTGAATGGAAAACCAGGTTTACAAGCCCTGATAATATGCCTCAGTGAATGCTGAAAAGCAATAAAGCATGGAATTGAGTAACTGTTGCTGTAAGTGTGCCTAAGAGAAGACGCCAGGCTTAGAGGCTGCAAAGGGGTGTAGGAATGGCAAATCCACTGAGATCAAAGTAACGGTGAGTACCTGCTGCACCAACACACACTGCACACAAGCACACTTGCATCACACACAGAGCCACATCGACATATATAATCCTTTGGAGGCAACTAGTTATCACCTGAATTTCAATACCTAAGGAGTACATTGTTGGTTAGAGCCTGATAAGGGGAGGGAAAGTAGTAGGAAGGGAAGGGCCTAGGGAGAGGCAGGATAATTCAAGACAATAAATTCAGCTTCATTGAGCTCCATGCCAATATGCAAGAATTACTCATCAGTGATTTGATGGCTGGCAGCTAACATACAGTGAGCAATAGCTATTGTGGGCCAGGTACACATATGAAAAGGACATAGAGCACAGCAAATCAGGAATCAGGAATTGCAGGGGGGGGGAGGAGGGGAGGCACGGAGAACAGGGTGTAGAGGCTAAGGATTCCCAGGGGGCCTAAGTATATTTAAATAGGCCTAAGCCTATTTAATATCACTCTTCTCTCTCACCCCCTGACATTGGCTTTCCTACAGACTGCCTTTCTTCATAGTTTGGGACCAGAACAAGCAGAAAAGTTTACAAGACTCCTTCCCTACCCATAGCTGGGGGTAGAGGTGTGCACCTGTCATCCTAGCTACAGTGGGAAGCCTACAATAGGTAAATGGAAGTTCAGGCAGGTCCCCACGTAGGAAGTGAGATGCTCTCTCAAAAGATAACCTGTGAAAAAGGGGCTGGGGGTATGGCTCAGCAGTAGAGCACCTCAGAGCAAGATGAGACCTTGAGTTCAAACAGTAACACACACACACACACACACACACGCAGACACTCACACACACACACACACACACACACACACACACACACACACACACACACACACACACACACACACACACACACCTTCTCCCCAGAAAATGGAGCTCCTGGGACAGCACCAGTAAAATGTGGCTACAGAATATAGACTTAAAGCGAGTGGGAGAGGCTTATATAACCACCCCATCAGCCCACCAGTTTCCCATCTCTGACTAGACCTAGGTCTAGGGCTGACTTTCTGCCCACATGGCAATTCTCCAGTGGGTATCTCTTACCCACCCTCTTTCTCTACAGATATAACCAAGCCTTTGCATCTCCCATCATGCTAATGGCCTCCAGAGGGGAGCTCCCTCATTTTCCTTCAGCCAGGGGCAGGCAGACCTAGTGGACCTTAGGTCAAAATGGGATGGGCAGGGATGTTGCCTGCTTCTCTACGTTCAGGGTGGAGGGCAGCTGAGCCCAGGCCAGGTCAGTCCTCTGACTTCTTATGTAGTGTTGGGGGAAAAGTTGGAATGACTCTGGGTCACAGAGCCATTCACTGGCAGAGGCTGCCTTGTACTCTGCCTATCTTCCTTGGTTGAAGGTACTAGAGGATACATAGCAAGGGACCTACCACACTTCTTTCTCTCTCTCTCTTTTTTTTAAAATTTTCAGCCATTTGGTTTTTTACACCTTTCTCTCTGGTAGTTTTTTGCATACTAATGTGAATTAAATTCAGATAACATTTGACCAACAGGTATATGAAAAAATACTCAGATTTAAAGCCGGGTACTGGTGGCTCAGGCCTATAATCCTAGCTACTCAGGAGGCTGAGATCTGAGGATCTCGGTTCAAAGCCAGCCCTGGCAGGAAAGTCTGTGAGACACTTATCTCCAATAAACCACTCAAAAACCAGAAGTGGCGCTGTGGCTCAAGCAGTAGAGCACTCGCCTTGAGCTGAAGAGCGCAGGGACAGCGCTCAGGCCCAGAATTCAAGCCCCACAACCGACCAAAAAAAAAATACTCAGATTTATACTCAGATTTATAATCAGCAGAGAAATAAGATTCAAAACCATAATGAACTATCACTTCACCACAGTTAGAATGGTGACTGTCAGAAAGAGGAGAGATAACAAATGCTAGTAAGGATTGGCAAATAGGGAACCTCATCTTCTATGTGTAGGAATGTAAGTTAGTACAGTTATATAAAACAGTATAGAGCTTCCACCAGAAACTGGAATTCGAACTACCAGCAGTCCCACTATTAGATATATAACCAACAGAAATTAAATTAGTATGTATTCCTATATTTATTACAATGCTATTTACAGCAGACAAAATATAATATCAACATTGGTGTCCACTGATGAATGAATTAATGGAGAAAAATCGAGTTCACATGCACAAGGGGATACTATTCAATCACAAAAAAAGAATGACATTCTACTATTTGTAGTACCATGGATGGAACTAGGGGATATTATGTTAAGTTGTTCTCAAAAAAGTAGAGAAGAGAAGCTTGGTATGGTGGGTCATGCTTGTAATCATAGCTACCCAGAAAGTAGAATAAGGAAGCTCTTGGTTCAAGGCCAGCTCAAGCAAGAAGTTAGCAAGACCCCCATCTAAGCCCATGCTGGACATTCTGGCATTCACCTGAGATTGGGAGAAGTAAGGACTGAGACTGACCTGGGAGGTGAGGGAGGAGAGAGACTCTGCCTCAAAAGTAGCCAGAGCAAAAGAGGCTAGAAGTATGACTCAAGTGGTAGAGCACATGTTAAGAAAGCACAGAGCTGTAAGGAGGAGGAAGAAAAAGAGGAAAAGAAGGAGGAAGAAGATGAAGGCAGAAGATTAAAAAAAGGGGAGGAGGAAGAGGAAGAGGAGAAGGAGGAAGAGGAGGAGGAGGAGGAGGAGAAGAAGAAGAACATGAAGGAGGAGGAGGAGAAGGCGAAGAAGGAGAAGAGGAAGGAGAAGAAGTAGAAGAGGAAGGAGAAGAAGAGAATAAACTATGGTTCCCAGAAGGATGTATGGCAAGAGGATGGTTACTAGCTACAAGGACAGGAGGAATCATGTCTTAATGTTTTACAGCTTGGTAGAATAACTATGATTGACCACAATTAATCAATTTTAAATAGCCAGTACATAATCAATATTAAAGTTCCCCAAATGAAGAAATGATAGCGATCTGAGCTGACTTGTTTGCCAGTTACCTTGATCTGATCATTGTCCATTATAAACATGAATTGAAATACTCCATCAATCAATGTGTACAATTATTGTGTGGCAATTAAAATATATTTCAAATAGAAATATTAACTTGGGTAATATATTTGCTGTATTTTATGAGAAAACAAGACCAGACTAGCCTGGGCTATTTAAGCAAGACCATGTCACAAATAAACAATTTACCTTTACTATAGGTGAACTGGAACTCTTGAGAGTTTCAGTTAATTTTCCCCCTTTTTGGTGGGGGGGTTGGGTAGTACTAGAATCTGATCTCATGGCCTTGTGCTTGCTACGCAATTAAACAGTATCTCCAGCCCATTTTGCTGTGCTTATTTTTTAGAGTCAAGCTGGGTTTTCTTTTTGTTTGTTTTGTGTTTTTTTGCCTCAGGCCAGCCTGAACTGTGATCCTCCTATTTACACTTCTACCATTACACCCAGCTTTTCCTGTTGAGATGGAGTTTTAAGATTTTTTTCCTCCCTAAGGCTGGTCTGGATTCTTCCATCCTGAACAGCTAGAATTATAGGTGTGAGTCACTGGTGCCCAGTTTCATTTTTCCAATGTTGGCCAAAATACACAATTTTTAAAAGTCACTGAGCTAGCAGAAGAGATTCTCCCTTCTTTTGCAACCAAAAACTTCATTTGAGAAATCATGTTAACATACCTAGCTGGTATCAGGGTGTGGATGAGGAGCTTATATTCCTTCCATTCATCAGAAACTACTGGTTGAGCTATTCTATCAAGGAAAGCAAATAGATTTCACAGCCAGTGTCAACTCTGATCAGTTTTTAGTGGCTCCCTGGTGCAGTGTAGATGGGTAATCTGCCATTCCGGTTTGACTCAGAGGAAGATGGTGCCACCATTAATTATGCCTACCTACACTTGTTCCAGCATTCATCAAAGGTCTGGCATGGAGCAGGTGTTTGTTATGTATTTGTTGAATGAATAAATGAAATATTGCCTATCCTTGGTCCTCATTGGCAAACAAAACAAAACAAAACAAAGTTAACCTACCTCTATGCCAGCTCACCTGCTCCCATGTGAATGTTGCTTTTGCCCAACAGAAACTTCTAAGAAGCTGTCTTAATGGAGACAGAAAGTGCTTCAGTGTACAAATGTTCCTTTTCAGGTACTTTGGTCAACCCCATGCATTCACATGGCCCTGAGTTCTTTCAGCTGAGCTGGTCTCTGTCTGGACTTCCATCCCAACCCTTCTGCACGGTAGACTCATTCACAACCCCTTTGCACAGTGCACCCATTCGCAAGCCCAGGCACTGCTCCTGCATTCTGGTCCTCCCTGGGCCTTGCAAGAGCCCTGTTCTGCCTTCCTGTCTTTCAATGGCTTCCCTGCAGAGTTAGCTCATATTCCTATCCCAGCTGCATACACAATATACAACAGATGGGGACTAAATCTTCTGTGATAGAGGTGAAATGTCAGCCTGGACACTGATTATGGATTCAGATTCAGAGAGCTAACAAATACTAGGAAAGAGAGAAACATACAGGTTGCTGAGGAGCAAGGCTGCTGTCACGTGTGGAACAACTACAAAGGAGTCTGTGGGCCTGGGCACCACATATGCTCTATTTGACTATCATCTATCTATCTATCTATCTATCTATCTATCTATCTATCTATCTATCTATCTATCTATCTATCTTGTACTGTACTAGGCTTAAATGCAGGGCTTTATGCTTTTGCTTAGCCTTTTCATTCATGGATGATGCTCTACCACTTGATCCATGCCTCTAGCCCACTATTTTGTTGGGTAATTGGGAATAAGGGTCTCATGGACTTTTCTACCTGGACAGATTTTTCACCGTGATCCTCAGATCAATGAATGAGTAGCTAGGATTAAAGGCACGAGCCTCCAGCTCCAGGCCTTGTGTGCTGTTCTTAAGCAGAAACAACCTCTCTTTCCATTTCTGAGAGATCATTTTATGGACAGAGAAGAATTTTAAGGTGCTCTGCCCAGAGCCACATGGATCTATGGTTTCTAAAATATTTCTTCCCAACCCAGCACAGTGGAGATAGAGTCTACTGAGTGACTGGCAGCCAGATAATCTGGCTGGACTTTCCACTAATCCACAGGTGTTGCTCAGGAATGCACACCTATAGCTATTCCATCTCCCTGGAGTCCCTTTTCTATTCCTGGCTCCTATTTTCTCCTGGGGGCATCTAAGCTGGGGTAAGGCAATGACTAGGGCTATTTCAATGATAAGAGGTCTTCTAGATGGCTATCTCTGTACTGCACATGGGTCACTGAGACGTGAGGCATCCATCTGCCTGGGGGTGAGCAGCAAGCTCTCTGGTTCTGTCCTTAGCATTTGGAACTATTTCCTGGAAAAGGGGGAGGAAAGTATTTCCTACAGATACTAAGAAGAGTGACTTGGGGGTATAGTACGTACAAAACACAAGAAGGGTGTTCTTTGGCCAACATGGAGATGTTCTCCTCAGCCCAATGTCCTCAGTTGCTTGAGAAAGGAAATAACCCCAAAGCATCCATTTCTTCTTTGCCTTCTCTCCTCACCTCTATATGATAAATAATTGATACGGTCTTTGCCTTTCCCAGGACATTCAAGCAGGAACAACCAGGTCATTCCATCAAAATATTCCCATAGAACCTTCTAGCAGGAAAGGGATTGGAAACTCTGTCCCAGTCCCAGTGGACCACTTCCCACCTCACAGAACTCTATAGAATGAACATAATCAGAGCCAAGAAAGGCAACTGCTACCCAGCAGAATACCCAGAAAGCATGTGCTACTGGGACAGCAGTATCAAGTTCCTGCCCTCTGCTGTGGCCCCTGAAGACCATCTCCAACAGAAACAAATCATCTTGTTCTATCTAAAGCAGACAGACAGACACACATACACACATCACACACACATGTACACACACACATGGGGGGGGCGCACATGCACCCCACTATCACTACCACCATTACCAACCAGGCCTCTCGTCTTACTTGATCTAGCAGTATTTAAAAAGTTACTGTTCAAAAGTGCCAGAACCTTTAAGGCAAACCACACACCACTAAGTTTAATCCAAGCCCAGGCAGAAGGAAGGTTGGAGGAAGGGCTGAAAAGGGTCCTGGAGCTCACCTATTGGCAGTTATATTCAGCCATTTTGGTTAGAAATGCACAACAATATTTAAAAAACAAGCAAGCAAGCAAACAAACCGACCCTGAAGGTTACTAGTCTTTTCCACAACCCAGACCTCTGTGCCCCAGAGACTTGTCACCCTGTGCCTCAAAGATGTGATTTGTGCAGCTTTGCAACAGATATGGAAGGCCCTGGTAGTTTCTCAGGGAGAGTGGGGTTCTTCCTGACAGATTGTTTTTTGAGGGGGTCGGTTGTAGGGCCTGAACTCTGGGCCTAGGCGTTGTGCCTCACCTCTTCAGCTCAAGACTAATGCTCTACCACTTGAGTCACAGGGCTAATTCCAGTTTTCTGGTTATTAATTGGAGATAAGAGTCTCTCGGAGTTTCCTGCCTGGGCTGGCTTCGAACTGCGATCATCAGATCTTAGCCTCCTAAGTAGCTAGGATTACAGGCTTGAGCCACTGGCACCCGGCCTTCCTGGCCACCTGTTCCCCCACAGTAGTTCTAGGCCCAGATGTCAGCCTATGTGATCCTTCCCACTTCTTGATCAGGGGCCCACACTGGAAAACGAGGTCTGAATTCCCGCAGGCAGAGCCAGGCTCTCTAGTCCGTACCCGACGCTTGTACCTGACTCCCATGCTTGACCAACTTTATTCCTTCCACATGGAACTGAGGCACCCTGACCTTCAGGGATCTCTCCTCCAGGGAATTCCCAAAGCATCTCACCTCTGCAGACTGGACGATCTCCTGCGGCCTTGGCTGTGCAAGGACAGGTTCCTGCCCAACTCAACCAGGGATCCAGCACTCCCCGGCTCCCGCAGTGCTAGGAGCCAGCTCAAAGCCACGCAGTCCACAACCCAGCCCTCCGCACAGTCTCTCACCTGCCTCTGTTTCCCCCTCTGCGAAGTCCACAGTGGGTAGTGCTGGTGCGGCGACCTGCCGAGAAAAGACACAGTAAAGGAGGAGAGCGAGTCCTACCTCGCAGCTGCTGGCTCCGGGATTCCTATGGAGCTCCATGCCTGCCGGCCCCTCTTATAGCTGCCCGGCTCCAGTTGTGCAACAAGTCTGGGCGCACCCCAAGCGCCTGAGCCCGCCCGCCCCGCCCCACGGGACCGAGATTTGCCCCCGGAGGCAGCGGGGTCAGCGCGGCGTGCGCGCCTCCGGACCTGCAGCGCCCCGGGGCCCCAGAGTCCCAGGCGCACCAATGGGAAATCCTCGCGGTTTCCCCAGGGGCTGTGGCGCGGCCCCGGTGGCTCTGGGGACCAAGTGGGGTGGGGTGGGGTGGGGGTGAGGGGAGGTCGCGGCAGTGCACTGGTGGCGGGACCCGGGGCCGCGGGGAGCCAAGATGGGGAGCTAAGACGAGGCTAGCCCCCCCTCCCCCGACGGCCCTGGGCGCCTGCTGTGTACACCACATGGTGGATCCGCATCGCACCCCTTGCTCTGGCGGGCCCGCCATGGTCCGGAGCCGTTCCACTGCCCTGGGTTCTTTGGAAGTCCCTTGGGTCTTGGGTCTCCATCCTCAAACCCACGCTTCTTGTGCGCAAAGAAGGATGGCTTAGACGCTTTTTTCCCCTTCACACCGCCTGTAAGGTGATGGTTGTCCTCGGGTTTTTGGGGTGAGGAAACAGATCAGAGAGGTTAAGTGACTACCCATACCACCCCAGCTGGTTACCCGGTGGTAACAGTGCCTTCAGTCTCTTTCTGGGGAGCAGAGCTGAGAGCTTCCCCCTACTCACACCCCCAAACAAGCCATCTGGGTAACAACCACACCGCGTGTTAGGTAGGAGGATGCAAAGTATATGTCTGATTGGGGACTGTCCATGAAATAGGAATGCTTTTTTACATAATCAGTAGTTAGGAATAAACAAACACACAAAAGAATAACAGTTCTGACTAGGAAAAATGATAAGAAATTTAAATTTCAGTATCTTTAAATAAAGTTTTGAATATTGTCAGCCAAAAAAAAAAAGTTTCTCCCTGGTTGTATATAGCGACATGAGACCTTCCATTTTACCTCGATCTGTAAAACATAAGAAGTTCTCCAGCTAGCCTTTTAGGGAAGTTTGCCAACCCCTGATCTCCGGGATGCCCGTACTACCTCACCTACTCTTGTATGCTTTGAGTCCTTCCAGCCCCTCCGTGGGGCTGGCTGGCTGTTCATCAACCCCTTTTCCAAGCAGAAGCTCTGTTTGCTGGCTCTTGCATTCTATCAGTGAAGATGGCTGTCCTGACCACTCTTCCTGCCAACTCCCCTTCCCCTGGCTGGGTTGGGTGCAGGGTTCATCTCTTCCCCTAAATTATAAGCAGGGAATTTGTGGACCAGCAATTTACATTTGGCAGTTCTGGTACCTTCACAATGCCAATCATATGTGGATATCCAGGAAACATTTGCTGTACAGAACTGCAGGAATGCCACACACCACAGAGCTCTGTGTGTGTGTGTGTGTGTGTGTGTGTGTGTGTGTGTGTAGTGGTTCTAGGGCTTGAATTTAGGGTCTGGGTGCTGTTCCTTAGCTTTTTTTTTTTTTTCCTCAAGGCTAGCTCAAGTGTGAGCTATAGCTCCACTTTGGCTTTTTATGGTTAATTGGAAATAAGACTGTCATAGACTTTCCTGCCCCAACTAGCTTCAAACCATGATCCTTAGGTCTCAGCCTTCCGAGTAGCTAGGCTTACAGGTATGAATCACTGGGTGCCTGACTCTGAGCTACTTTTTGACATGTCATATTACCACACTATTCTTTGAGAAGTCTTCTAAGACCCTGAGATACTGGGAAGGTAGTTTTTTGACTTGGGAAATATTCTGACAGTGATGACAGGATGTAGAGAACCAGAAAACCCAGGTCCACATCTGCCCTCCAGGCAACAGTCCAGTTACATCTGAGACTTCCTGATGGAAACTGCTCCCAAAGATAGTGCACTCCATGAGAGCAGTAGGGGTCGATATTGTTCTCTGTTAAGCTCCCAGCTCACGGCCCAGTGCTTAGCACAAAGTATTCATCTTTAAAACATTTTAATGAAAAATTCAAATATACAGAAAGCAAGCAATAGTATAAATCTAACAATTATCATGTTCTGTATTTGTTTCATTTTTCTGGCAAAAGTGTTTTAAAGCAAATTGCAATTATGCTGACATCTTTAAGAATAATAGTACTCTCTGAAAAAAATGAGAATTTTTATCTAACCATGCAACCATTCTCACACAATAGTAATTTCTTAACATTATGAAAGGCTAGTCTACAAATTGCCATAAATGTCTCATATGTCTTTTTTTCTTTTATTTTGTTACTTGTGGGGCCTGAACTCTGGGCCTGGGCACTGTCCCTCAGCTCTTCAGCTCAAGGCCAGTGCTCTACCACTTGAGCCACAGCTCCACTTCTGTTTTTTTCTGCTTATGTGGTACTGAGGAATCAAACCTAGGGCCTCATGCATGCAAGGCAAGCACTTTACCACTGAGCCACCTTTCCAGACCTCATATGTCTTTTATAGTTGCTTTATTTAAACCTGGTTGTGTTGCTCTTAATTAGTGTTTATTCCATGGTGTTGGGGATGGTATCTAGGGCCTTGAGCATGTTCTACCACTGAGCTACAGACCTGTCCCAATAAATATTTTGTGAAAGACAGAAGGAAAGAAGGAAGGGAAAAAGGAAATGGAGTATTTATGAAGGCAGAGATCACTACGTACAGTTTGTATCTGTGGTAGTATCAAAACAAACCCCACTCATTTATTTATGCATGCTAATTCAAAATTAGAATTAAATTAAAAATAAATGGTTGGCATTAGTTATCATTTAGAATTATGTAGCCAGGAAAAAAAGGAAAAACAACTTAATGCCCAGTGTGGGAACTTGGTAAGAGTAGTGAAAAGTTCTATTGGCACACTGTACAAACACTGAAAATTATGTTGTAAAATGGCATTTAATGCTACAGACAGCATTGTGTTTTTATTTATTTATTTTTGGATTGGGGATTGAATTCAAGGCTTTGCATTTGTAGGCAGACACTCTATCATGTGAACCACTCCAGCAGCCCCCAAGATGCTATATTTTTAAATAGGAAAGAATGAGATTACAAAGTGGTAGATCTTTTCTGATCCTACATGAGCAGATATACACATATTCACACCAAAATATTACTCATTACTGAGACAAGTTTGAAATGATTTTTTAAACTTTTTCCCTGTGCTTTTCTGCTTTAAAATTTTACCTAGGATGGAAACTTTTTTGTTGGAGATGGAATCCAGGGCCTCCAGGAGCTAGTATGTGTTCTATCACTGAGCTGTACTCTAGCCCTGGAACTAACTTATTAGAAGAGAAATATTTTTACAACCCATGAAAATAATAGCTTTCTGGTTTGTTTCATTTTTCATCTATAGGCTGAAGCACTTGGGTCAGATCAAGTTTTTCCTTGTCCCCAACATCTTTGTAACTTTGCTCTAGTAAAATATTTAACTTGTTTTCAGAACTTGGCAGCCTCTGGCTGACCTGTTCAGTCACCAGGTGAGTTGGTACCTGGGGATATTGCTTGAACTTAAGCAACCCTAGGGAGCCATACTGTGAAAATACAGATTGTCTGACTATCTATCACCTACCTATTTATTTTGCCTTTGTTTGATTTAAAAAATAAGAACTAATGACAATTTTTAGTTCATTTTAATTTTTTTCTCTCTCTCTGCTATTATTGGGGATTTGAATTTAGGGAGTCAAGCATGTGGCACAAGCTCTACTACTTACCTGCACCCCCAAACCTTTCAAATTTTATTTGAAGACAGGATCTCACCAAGTTACCCAAACTAGTCTCAAACTTGCCATCCTCCTGCTTTGATCTCCCAAGTAGCTGAAATTGCAGGCATGTACCACTGTACCCAGCTTTAAATACAAGTTCAAAAGGGACAAAAGGACACGAATGACTTAGTTTTCTCCAAGTCCTCCTCTCCTTAGAAGTAACCATAACTGCCAGGCGCTGGTGGCTCATGCCTGTAATCCTAGCTTTTCAAGAGGCTGAGATCTGAGGAGTGCAGTTCAAAGCCAGCCCGAGCAAGAAAGTCTGTGAGACTCTAATCTCCAATAAACCACTCAAAAACCAGAAGTGGAACTGTGGCGCGTGGCTCAAGTGGTAGAGTGTTAGCCTTGAGCTGAAGAGCTGAGGGACAGCGACAGGCCCAGATGACCGACAAAAAAAAAAAAAAAAGAAAAGAAAAAGAAAAGAAAAAAGAAAAAAAGAAGTAACCATAACATTTCTGTCATGTGATTCCAGGACTATTCTGGCTCCTTCACATATGCATTTTTTAAAAACTCACATAATTAATATCTTACTATTCATACTACTCTTCTTGCCCTTATCATTAAAATTGTGTTTTAGAAAATTTCACTGGTGCCAGGCACCGGTGGCTCACACCTGTAATCCTAGTTACTCAGGAGGCTGAGATCTGAGAATCTCGGTTCAAAGCCAGTCCAGGCAGAAAAGTCCCTGTGAGACTCTTATCTCCAATTAACCACTCAAAAACCAGAAGTGGAACTGTGGCTCAAAGGTGGCGAAACACTAGCCTTGAGCAAAAGAGGTCAGAATGCCCTGGCCCTGAGTTCAACTGACAAAAAAGAAAGAAAAAAAGAAAATTTCAAATATCTGTAATACACTTACAAGAAAAAAACATAAATATCTGTGTGTCATTATGCTGCTTCAACTATTACTAGTTTTATGTCTTTCCTTCAGTATATCTAGCATATAATTTCTTACCAGTGCACACAAACTAGGACCTATCTTTTTAAACTCTGTATGTACTCCATTTTTGGAGCCTTCATAATCTATCTAACCATATTGTTACATACATAATATTGTAATTAATATATTTAAATTGACTTATTTGGGCACTATATGAGCCTATCTGTGGGAGAAATTCTGATACATAGAATTATCAGTGGAAGGTATG